GATGCTCTTCGGTCTTGACCTTCGTCTGCCTTGTGATCTATTGTTTGGCCGCCCTCCGGATGCTCCTTCATCGTCTGAGGAATATATTCAAGATCTCCAGGCCCGGTTTGAAGTGATGCACAATTTTGCACGAGAGCGAGTCAACTTGGCGACGGAGAAGATGAAGACCCGATACGACACAAGAGCTACTGAACATCAATTCCACGAAGGAGACAAGGTGTGGTTATGGAATCCGACTCGACGGAAAGGACTTTGTCCGAAATTACAGTCACCTTGGGATGGGCCGTACACAGTCCTAAACAGGCTGAATGACGTCGTGGTTCGGATTCCGTAAGTCATTCGAACTCTAAACCTAAAGTCGTTCATTACGACAGGTTAGCTCATTACTACCACCTGGCCACAGTATGTACGTGTAATAATTTATGTAAATATGTATCAGTGTACCATATAGAGTGTAAGTAATTCCACAGTTTAGTGTAAATAATTTTAAATAGTTAAGACCATGGTCCTTAAATGTGTTCTTAATGATTTGATTTGTATTTTAGTATTTGATTTGCATTTAGTATTTTTGTATTTATATTATTGTATTTAGTATTTGTTTTGTATTTAGTATTTGATAGCATTTGATTTGTTTAAGTTAGTTATTGCATTTATTGTTTATATTGTTTGATATTGTAATGTAATGTTTATGCCTCAGTTGCATTTATGCCACAGTTGTAAGTTTAGCTTCCTGTCCAGGGATTGTACTGCCCGGGACGTGCAGTCCTTGGGAAGGGGGCAGTGTTACGAATTTGGTATTTAAAAAGCTAATGTTAGTTCAATTATAAATTAAATGGTTTTATTTCTCGCGCAGTGCAGCGCGTGACGAATATTAAAAGAAAGCTAAGCCGGAAAAATTGAAAATACAAGAGCGCGTGCATTAAATAAATAAATATCTCTTTTTGATTCGAGAAAGTACTGGAAAATTCTAGCGCGTGATTTTAAAATCTTATAAAAGGAGGAAAACATCTCAGTTTGTAGTAGTTGCTTAGTTTGTTGTTGTTTAGAAAACTACTGTTGTTGATTGTAGCGAATTCGCGGATTAGCGTTCTTTAGCTGTTTTGAATTACGTTCTATTGACATTTGAGTAGTTAAAAGAAAACTACTGTGAGATATTGTAATACTGCATGATAATTTGAGAAAATTTAAGCATTTTTGTTGTGATAATAATAAATTTTTGTTCATTTTTCATCGGACTTGTGCATTCATTTCATAACGAACCCGTACGCACGCAACAATATGTTTAAACGTACCTCCGATAATAGTGCAGATTGTATATTATCAGACATTCATGTATTAAGTATAATTATGATTATTTGATAAATTATGTATGTAAAACATTAATAACATTAAATAATGTTATATAAAGGTATTGTGTACACAAAAATACAGTATGTATTTTTAATATGCAAAACGTAAAGATGTTATACTTTTTCTCGAGCCTGAGATATCAAGGGAATCTGGAATTTTAATGGTATCCACAAAAGCAAAATAGGAATAATATATGGAAGAAATCTAGTTCATATAGTGTAAAATGTATTTTATTGTATCAAGAGATAAGAACAAATAAATATAGTATTTTGTTTTTATAACATTAACGCTCTAACAGCGTTCTTGTAATTTCCAAGAACTTTGCTTAATTACGTTTATTTTGGGCCCTTAGATTGGTAATTAATAACTTTAAATGTAGGATAGTTGCGAAAACACATTAATGAGATTAGGATAAATGCTTGGAGCAACACTTTGAAACGAAGTACGTACTATGACTTTAGATAGTACGTACAGATAAGTCAAATAGATAATAGATAAGTTAAACAATTTTACAGCTCTAATAACGAAAATTTCTTATTAATATAGTTAAGTTTACCATTACGTTCAGGGTTTGAGAAATTTCCTAAATCTTGAGAATATACATAAATTATCAAAATGTCAGTTTCGATTCGTTATATTCAGCTACACGTTTGGTTTATTTGATTACGGCAAAACACTCCAGGGCTATGTCTTTAAGGTAAGGCATGCCTTCATGGAGAGCTTTCTAGGGTAAAATAGCTTTTATACATGATACACATAGAGAAAACTACGAAAACATCCATGCAGTCAACCTGTTCGCCGAGATTTGAGCCCCGAACCGAATTATCTGTATTCAGCGACTTTACTGCTCGGCCGCTCATTGGCCATTCTCGTACACGACCAAAAATGAGCGTAAAGGTGTATGGGAATAGAGAACTGGTTGTGTCTGAGTAGCTGCATTTCAGACCGTTAAAGCTTCAGTTGCCCATTTACTTAACCTTTCTTCGTAAATTCTTATAAAGATTCCATTTTTAAACGTTAGTTAACATGGGAAGGCGCTACCAGTTGACCAATGGTACATCGCTGGTGTTCCCCATATTTTACCTGTGCCTGTCACTTTACCTGCGTTTAAAAAAATTCAACTTCTGAGGCTCAGGGCGATTATTAGTTTCTCTGTCGCTGTGATTTGTAAATAAGTGACACTCAGATGCTGAATCACACAGGGCATCATCAATGCATCAAATAAAAAACTTGAAAGTTTGACACCAGTTTCATTAATATCAGAGAAAGGTATAAAATGATGCCGTATTCAAAAATCCGTTTTCATTATGTAATATTAAATCTGTGTTTCACATTCTATATTATTTCACTATTACATGCAGCTGTAGTTCTACCCACCCTACTACCCGGAAAGTCACATCTGTGTTGTTTTTATATTTTCCATGCATCCATTTTCACAAGACGTACACTAAAATGTTTTCAAGTCTAACTCTTACGACATTTCGTTACGACAAAACAATGGAATGTTTAGATTCACTCTCGTCATATATTGTTTAATTTCTGGAAAACAAAATAACTCAAAACCTGCTTCTAGGAATAAGGAAGTTTTCAGATAAAAATCGATTACTCAAGCTTTCATGGAGAACTAAACAATAAAGAAAACAACCAAACAACAGAAAACAGAGCCATCGAAGCACTAATTTTTTATACAAGCTTCAGAGAACCCATGCAGAACGAAATGTAATCAAAAGCAACAACTACCTCTATTGCTGGTAACACCACAAGTGTCGTTAAGAAAAGAACTGAGTTCCAAAACGTGTTTTTTAACAGCTCTTATATTTTACCATTCGTTTGTTTCCTTATTCTATAGAGTTTTTACATGATAAATGAATAATGCGTAAATAAAATCATAAATTCAGTTTTCATGTCATCGAAATATGGTTCACCAGTTGAGACCAAAATTGTCCGAGCTTTCGAAAGGCTAAATAAGTTAGCCTCATATAATACACACAGGAAATACATACACAAGTAAGCAACAGTAGTTAGCACATGTTAGCCATAATATTACCACTATTTCAAAGGAAGCAGATCATGTTCAAGGGAAAAAACATGACAGTTTTACAATATATTACAAAACTGCAAATCAATCAACTTTTTGTAGACGTAAGTAATATATGGCGAATATCTTTTTTAATTACAATAGTGTTGCATTTCGGCAGTGGGCAGGAAAATATATTTTTCGGTACCCAAAACTAAAAGCTTACTTTTAGTCCCATTTGGAAAAAAAAACCCTGAAGTTGGTGCACAAACTGACTTAATTCACTTTCTACTAAGAGTTTCAAATAGAAACAAATATAGGCTTCGTTAGGCTTAGTACCAGTTAAAAATTTTTAAATTGTTGCTAATTCTAAAACTATTGCATGCAAATGAACTAAAGGTATAAAAACCTTAAGTAGAACATAAGAACACCATAATTCAGCCACTTTTAAAGCACAAGATGTATATCAAGATATAAGAATGAGCTCACCGAGCCAAGTAACAAAGTGGATATACATATATATAAGTGAGTGAATATATATATATGGGTGAGTATATGGTATATGGGTGAGTATGAGTATATATATATATATATATGGGTGAGTGGGTGAATATATATATATATACGTCTGGAGCTGCCGATTGCAACCAAAAAGGCAGTTGAACAACTACATGTTATAGCAGTTCCATTTACAAAATGTCAGCGTTTTGAGGATAATCAGATTTGAGTTATGCGAGATGCATACATACGTACTTAAGTACGTACGTACGTACGTACAGATGTCAAGAAAAAAAATCTCTTCTTAATCCATTTTAGATTCCTTTGGGAGGAGAAAAGTCCTTTATTCTGTCCGTACGTGCATATACCATACAAAAAATCGTTCAAGTGGACTCAAGAGCTGTTAAAATGGATATTTTCATTGAAATATGATACCCGAAAATTTTCTCGATTACGATACTTCCTTTACTTCGTACAAGGAACTAAAATTTTACTTTGAAAAGAAAACGAATTTGAAGTATTTTGGTAAACCTATAAGGAATTGTCACACTTCTCCAGGCGTGCTCTTATGGTGTAAGTGGCTAGAAAATGGCAGATCTGCGTTTTAAACACTGCAGGGCCACAGCTGATTTTTCGTGATTCCTTTTTTGTAAAAGCTGAGGGTTTCTGCAATTCAATTCAGAGAACCTTATCTTTTGCTTTCGTCGATTTTCAATTTTGCTCTTGAAATTTAATTAGTTGTTTTTCATTTAATAGGTCTAAATTATCTATTATATTATGACAGTATACCAATAAAAAGAAAGAAGGGAACAAAATATTCATTTCAAATCTTAGTGCTTAGTAGCATCAAATGTTATCCCCAACTAAGCACAAAATGTTATTTGTGTCGTTTCGTGATACCGAGATCTCTCGTCAACATAAACGTAATAAATAATTTTACTTTAAAAGAAATACTATGAAATATTTATGCTCAGAGGAAATAAAGAAATTTTTTAAAAATTTTCATGGGATGCCGATATTTAAAACTGATTTATTCTGCTGATTCTTTAAATGTTTTAATCCGGTTTAGATTTCTGATTGTTTTAATGTCCTTTCCCATTCCAAAATAAATTGATAATAATAATAGATATTTTACCTGTGGCGTTTAATACATTGGCGATCTATAGAGCTTCATGCCCGGAGGTCCAAATAAATATCTATCGCTTGACAGGTAGATATCCTCTGGGGATGGATGGAGGGGGGGCGGCAGTTGCAGGGTTGCTGGATGATGACTGTAGCGCCACAACCGAGAGGCATGTTGAAGAGGTGGCACAAAGTAACCACGTTCCACTGAAAATAAATCAACATTTCAATAGAAAGATAGTTAGCAATTTATGTTATAAACATTATTTCATTAATTTCATTTAAATACACAAGAAATGCAGAACAAACCGAGATATTTTCATTCTCGTTCAAGTCCCATTGCTTTTCAAATGCTAAATTTTGGAAATTTTTGGAAGTATTAATTTTAACATTTTATATGCATATATATATATATATACTATATTAAAAAACTAGCTTTTTTTTTTTTTTTTTTTTTGATTAGCGTAGTGTAATCTAAGGTGATTTTGGCTCCTTCACATTTTTTAGTTCGGGTGCCACTGTAGGGACATTTTAGGTTATTTTGGAATAGAACTCATGAGAAATGAGCAATGCTCTAGCCGGGACTCGAACCTCCGACCTCTCGAATACGCGCCAAGTGTGCTGACCATTACACCACAAAAGCATGCTAAGACATCGGAAGAAATACCTTATAAAGTAACTACAATAAAAAATATCCTTAATTGAACACTACAGATGCTTTCTTTGGTTTCCCTTTTTATCCCCCCCTAGGAATTCTGGTAGAGAAATTTTGAAATTAAGTCCACTGGAAATCAGAGATAATTTTCCCCAAAACACATATGATAATAAAATAAAAGTTCATTATATGTATTTATGTGGGAGCCTCTTCCAAGATTACATAACTGATGCAAAATGATTTTCCAATAATACCACTTGCAGTGACTGACAAAAAATTTGATATTGCCTTTCGCGAGAGTTTTCCCTTTACTGTGATACAGACGACAGTCCAGCATAAAATCTGAAACTATAACGTAAAATAATGTTTAAAAAAACTTAAAAAGTAATTAAAAAGAATCGAATTATACACAGTTTTTTGATAAGAGCTTATCAATTTTTTTTTAGTATACGAAATGAAAATTCATGCTCCTTCGCAAATTAATAAGGCATTCAATTTACTAATCTTAATGCAATATAATTAAATTAATTTTCAGAAAAATATGGTAAGGAGAATAAAAGATTCAATACTCTTATTTTTTAATTAAAAAATGAATCAAATTAAATATGTAAAAGCAAGATGAGTGTTCAAAGTATACTTTGTACCACCAAGAGGCATTACATATGAAGTTACGAATCATCTTCCTATAGTTTATAAGGTACTTTCTCCCTCCTTTCTGCATGCCTTAGTGGTGTAACGGGTAGCACATACGGCGCGTATTCGAGAGGTCCAGGTTCGAGTCCCAGCGAGGACATTGTTCATTTTTCACGTTTTCAGCATCAAAATAACCTAATGATTCTGCAGTGAGGCAATACCTAAAAAGGTGGTGGATGATGATTCTTCACCTCTAGGATTTGGCTGTTGGATTCCCTTACCCTCGGTCGCATTTTAAAACGGGGAGAATATAAGATATTTTCTCCCTCCTTACTGCATGCCTTCGTGGTATAACGGTAGCACACTCGGCGCGTATTCGACAGGTCCATATTTCGAGTCCGGAGCGCGGGGATTGCAGATTTTTCACGTCTTCTGCTTTAGTAAAACCGTAATGACAAATTATACTAATAGTATAAATATCAATGACGTAATTTCTTGGCCATAAAACCACAGCGAACAATCACCAAACTGACGAACTTAAACACCCAATTTACAACGTGAAAATTTCAAATGTCGCCAAATGCTTACATGGCTGCTTTAACGATGATGATTTTACCCGTTGATGATTTTGTAGAGATATTAGGATATTTTTGGAAGCAGACAAGATGAAAAATTAGCAATCGCCTTCGCCGAGAATCGAACTACGGACATCTGAAATACCGGCTCAGTGTGTTGACCACTACACCAGGAAGAAGGCACGCTAGGAAAATGGGAGAAATACCTTATAATTTAACCATTTTAATTACACGTGTTGTTATAAAAATATGAAACAAATAAGAAGCATCTATACTATTTCAAAATAATTCCTCCTTTTCTCTGAGTAATCGATAATCAATAAAATACTTTAATTTGTAACATAAACCAAAGATTTGTACTTCGTACAATGAAAATTTTCCAAACTACATAGATGGCAAATACGCCATCTATGTATGTTTGATGAATAGATGACCATATGGCATATTAGCGTAATGGGCTTTGATGGGAAATTTGCGAAGACTAAGGAGAATGTTCAGACTTATACATAGCTATGTAGCTATCATAATTGTCATAGTGATAAGGTGTAAAAGTCATCAGCTTCATTCACGCCTATGGATTAGGTTTTAAGCCTCAGGCAGTCAGGGAAGGGTAAAGTTGTACATGCATGAATGTGCAGTTGACTCAGCAAAATCTACCGGATGTTAGTTCGTATTCGCTTTGCTGTGATTGATCGCTCATTATATAAGGGAGGCATCAAATCCAGCAGTTAGCATATATAAACCAAATACATATACCAGTTTGTGTGGCGTAATAAAACTGCTTATAATCTGGCACTTCAAAGTCTTTGCGACCCTGTAAAAGCATAACGTGTGTCGTCATAACCACACAAAAGAAATTTTAGATTTTTAGCAAATCAGAAGATCTGATTTTTTGTCTGCAGCAGTCATTTCCACAGTTATGTGCCACTGTTCTTTGCACGGGGAGAACTGTCTTTACAGTGCTTAACTAACAGGCTATAATTAAGGAAGTTTGGCTAGTTGTGACTATAAAGCTGCCATCTGAACACTCCCTAATATAAAATAAAAACAAATTGGAGTATGATATTGTGGGGTAAGAAAATGTGCCTTGCCGGGACTCGAACTCTAGACCTTTGGACGAACTGTTATCTCTTACCATAATTAGAAAAGAACATACTGGATGAATACTTTGACGTTTTATCATAAAATCACGTCACATATAATAACGATTGGAAAGGGCGGATGACCTGCAATCGATCATTATAAACAACTACAAACTATAAGCTTCCCTGTTTATTCTCGGGCATCAGCTTCAGAGAAGGAGAAAGAAATTAAACGATGTCCATATATAGACTCCGCACATTAGGACAACCTTATTCCACAAAATATATGCGCTAGATACAAGTATTTCTCTAGTATTCCTCGTGGTGTAATGATTAGCACGCCTAGTTAAAATAACTGGAAGGTTCATAATTCGATATCCGGCGGAAGTGCCTTTATACGTTTCCCTAACGTTTATACGTTTTCCACTCCAAGAAAGTTTAACAATCTTTGCACATGGAAGGACATTTCAGAAATAAGAATGTAGCGGTTTAAAAACCATTTAGCAATGTTCAAGGCTTAAATTATACATTAAAAAAAAATAAGCACTTAAGGGGACTTGGTACCCCAAAATCTATGAAAGTGCGATTTTTAAATTTTTTGCTAAAAAATACCTTAACACCATTACTGAAGAGAAATTCTGAAATTATCTATAAAAGGCTTTTAAAAATTTTGACAGCCTTTTAAATGCCACCCTTCTCAGTGTTTATTTTTTAGAGTATTTTAACTGTTTTAGTCGTTTATTAAAAATGAGTGCAAAAGAAAACGAATGGAATTAAATATGACTGCAATTATAAGAAAACTCTGTATATATGTATAACTCTTTATATATATATGTATATATGTATAAACTGATTTATTTAAATACTAAGTGATGTTAGGAAAAAAAGTCAATTTTGCTATTCTTCTTCAAAAATTGCAATTTTTTAAAATTACACGAACAGAAAGAGTTGGCGTAGTGAAAGTGATGAAGTTCTTGATTCTAGCATTTGAAAATAGTGTTAAAAAACAATAAAATTTTCAATTAATTAAAATACATCTGAATTAATTTAAAGTTCCATTTATATACGAAATCAAATGGCTAAAGAAAGAGAAGAAATTACATATGCTGCTAAGCGATTGTAAATAAGATGTTTTATGTCTGTTCAAATTTCAAACTTTTCTTTTTGAAAAATGAATAAACTAACTACAAATTAATATTATTGATATTAATTATAAATGTTTTAATATTTATTATAGATGTTTTAGAAGATGTATAATAATTAACTCATGTTTTAAATTATCTTTAACGTAATTTACGAAACAAAAGCAGGTAGAAACAAAATTTTATTTTATGATTTATTTGCAATATTTTTGGCAAGAGAAGTTTTTAAATAAGAGCTGCCCACCAGCGGCCGAGCGGTAAAGTCGCTGAACACTGATAGTTCGGTCCGAGGTTCGAATCCCGCGAACGGGCTGGCTGCATGGGAGTTTTCGGGGTTTTCCCCATGTGTAACGTGTATACGAGCCAGTTTACCTTAGAAAGTCCTCCACGAAGGCATCCCTCCTCTTAGGCAGATAGCCCTCGAGGCTTTGCCATAATCACACACACACTGTTAAATAAGAGCTTGTAACTCACGTTTATATAAACCAATTAAATAGTACTAGGTTTTGTATATATATATATATGTATTGAAATTCAGTAATAAAGTTTTATGAGATTTAAAATGATTTAATGACCATTTAGACAGTTTAAGCTCTTTAAACTGCGCTTTCTCAGTTTGCATTTTTTTGGATAAAGCCTTTAAAGTCCTAAAACTCGTACAGATTTGGACTAAATTATTTAATATTTTTACTACTTGTTTAAAATTACATACTTAAGGGGACTCATACACCTTAAACCCCTCATGATCTTCGAATATGTGACTGTTCCAAGAATTGAGATATTTTATTTATTTTAAAAGCAATTACTTTCAACTTTTTACAGCTGACTAAATAATATAGCTGCTTTGGAAACTAGCAAACAGAAAGTTTGTGTTGCCACAAATATTTTTGTAATTTAATCCTTTTTGTGACAAAATATTCGCCATGTTTCCACCTTTCGCGCATGATATTTTAAAAATGGCTAATGGTACATACTTGAAATTTGATGGAATTCTTTATATGGGCACTAATTTCGAACTGAACCAACAATCTGATGAATATTTTAATATTAAAAAATTTTATAAACTCAACTCAAAATAAAATAAAAATTTAACATGAAATTTTTATAATTTTAGGTTCAA